AAAGTCTTGGTTTTAACAGTTTAATATTGTAGGAGGTGGCCATGCATATTCACAAAGTCTATAGTTATTGTTGCCTTGCTTACTAAAATTAAATCAAAAGAAAAGGAATAATGTTTTACTGAGAGGGTTTTACTTTGTATTTATTCAGCATTGTGGAATGTGGAATAAGTATTAAGGAATGTGTTTTAAAATAATCCTTCCAAATTCTACTGTAACTTAGCTTAGAGATGAATTCATGTTATTTTATCAGGTAACTAGAACATGTGCACATTTTGCACCTCGTGTCTGCAAGACGTCAGGCCAGCCTTTCTAAGGGCGCTGTTCAAGATCAGAGTGCTCAAGGTGCTGTCTTTGAGTAAATCTTCAATGACTCTACTGAATAGATTGGAAGTCTAAACTATTTTTTTAACTTGCAGCAGTAATATACAATGCCTGTACTTAAATTTGCAACAGAAAGTAGCAGACTAAGAACCCTGGGCAGGGCTCTATTTTGCTAAGATTTGCCAGAGCAGGATGGCAAACCTGCTGTGAGGGCTGAGGTTCTTCCCCATCAGCACTGGTCAGTGCCCTGGCTTGTTGCACAGACATCCCATTTGGATTTGTGTTGATTCCTGAGATTTTAGCAAAGGTTTATATTTAATATTTAAACATCATTTAGGAACCTTGCTAAGCTGTTCACATACCATAGTCCTTGGCCTCCTAATAGGATGCTATGGTCTCCTAAATTTCCACTAGAAGCATGTGGATCAGTCATTCCTCAATGACAAAATCACACTCCTCCAGGCATTCCATAAAAGGTAAAAATAATTAGCTTGAAGTCCTTGCTCCAGTTAGTGACGTGTATGCCTGTTTTTTTCTGAAGTGCTGGAACAGATTAAGGCACTCTTCTGGCATCTGGGTTCAACTCTTGCATCAAACCTTGCAAGGTGAGGTTTGAATGCAGACCTTGTTGAAGAGTGTCAAATTCTGTTGTTACGCAGTATAGCCAGGATTTTTATTGAAAAGAAATGCTTCTTTGTGAGAGAATTCCAGACAATGAGAATACTTTGGTGCACAATTACATACTTTATGAAAGAATCATAATCCTTTCCAGTCCTTGTCCCTCACCTATAGATCTGGGTGCTTTCTAGCAGCTGAGAATGGTAGTGCATACGCGTTGGGATGAGAGACATGGTGTTTTTTCTTTGAGCGCATTAGGATAATGTAATGAGACTAAACTTAATTCTTTCAGCAAAAAACATTTTATTCAATCTGCTTTAAGATGGGAAAAGTGGTCACTTGACCTGGCGCTTTCAATGTTAACAATCAAACAGCTTCCATAGTGCAGACATTTAGAATCTTTATTCTATGTATTCAGTGCATAGGAATGTAACATATAAGCAATGAAGCCGTAAAATTTCCTGCAGTGCTTTAGTCTTAGAAATAAGAGTGTCTGCTCTGGGAGGATTGTATTAAATTGCTTTGCTCTTTGTAAACTGCATTTATGAGCATGGGGGAATTGTCGAACAACCTCCGTGCCTGGCTAAAATCATGTGCAGATCTGGTTGGAATAAATTATCCTAGCTCCATTAGAGTCACAACACTATAACAATTTATACTAGTTGACCCTTTTTAAAACTCTTTCAGATTTTTATCAGATACTTCTCAACTACTCAAACAAACCGCTCCCAAACTGTTTTATGGTGCGTGCTCCGTTAGCAATATCTGAAATAACTTTGTGCTGGCTCAATCATGTTTGTTCACAGACTGCAGGAAGCAGCACACACCCAGGGCTTCTTGGAACGCCACCCTTGTGCCACCTGCTTTCTGGGGCCCAGCTGCTGTGACCGCAGACGGACCCTGCCCTGAGCCATCCCGAGCACCCCGTCTGTCTAAGTGGCCACTCAAGGAGAAGATAGAGATGAAGCATCTTTTTTTTTTTCCCCTCTGGGGAAAATTATTCTGAATAGACTTATCTTTTGTAGGAATGTCTTCTGTACTTCCATTTCTACAGTAAAAAACAACAAAAAAAAAAAACCAAAAAAAAACAAAAGCCAGCTATATTAAGATTTGAATCAGCATCTTCTAAGATCTTCTAAGATCTAAGGTTTTGGAACACTTACCCTCCTTCTGTGCTTTACAGAACTGGTAGTGCAGAGATGTGTATTAACTGCCAGAGTCAGCCCCTAGTGTACTGCATAAGGAGACTACTAAAAACAGTGCTCCCTAATCTATATAAATTAGGGTGATCTATTCATTAGTCAGCTAACTCTCTTAGAATCAAGTATTTGCAGAAGGAAAAAACACCAAAAAAGAGGTCTATAGAAGCACTTCTGCCTTTGGCTTATAGACATTTGTTTATAAAAGTGCATGGTTCCTGTGGGTTCCTCCAATGTAAGTTAGGAAAATATGGATTAACAGAAGTCACATCTTGCATATTAAATATTCACATTGTTTACAGATTGCAGCTGTCTGGAAACTATACAAATCCAAATAAAGATATCTTAGTCATTCACATTCTGAAAACACATTTACAGTAAATCTACATATCTGTGCTTTAGAGATCTTGGTTTGCAGAGTTTTTTGGCTTGGCATAGGTTCAGTTGAAATGTGGGTTATCTGGGTGGGTTGTGTCTGTGATGATGCCTGAACGTTATCAGACTAGGAAATACAGGGTGGTTGCTGCTAGTTTCAAGATTTTGTAATTTTGAGTATTTTTAGGTCAAAACTGAGTATTTGTACTGTATCTAAAATTTGTGCACTTTGGGTAGCAAAATATTATTTGAAAGTGTTAATCGCAGCTATCTAGATTGTTTTATTGGATTTGGCGTCCTTGTTCTGGCTGTGATTTTTTTTGTTTCTTTTCTTTCAGCAAAGTCAGTATTGATTAGTAGGAAAAAGGCAGCTGCATTAACTTTAGAACATTATTTGTAGTCTGTCCTTTATACCATGTTCCTATCCCTGCTGGGATTATCTCCCAGCTGGAATGTCTGTAGCTGTTAGGTGGATAAAGGCAAACAAATGTTTGAAAAAAGGAGCAGGAGGAGTTGTTCCAAAAGGATGTGTCTAACCTTTGGAAAAAAGATCATCTCTGCTTTCATTTCTGGGTTCTAAAGTCAATAGCAAACATCCTTTGTCCTGGTCATTGCCCACTGATCCTGTGTAGTATGGTACTAACCCAAAGGCACTTGGTAGAAAATACAGCTGCTATGAAAAACATTGCTGTGATGTAGTAATTGCAAGATGTAGCCTTCTAGTGTTAGTGGAAAAAAGGAGCTTGATGCTTAAGTGACATTATGTGGAAGAATGTGCTGCAGAGCTGTCCATTGGAAAGCAAGACCAGAGCCCCACACAGACTGCACATCACTGGAGCTGGTGGATTTGCAGCTGTCATTTAAGTTCTTTATATGGGAGACGAATTTTTTAAAAAACTATAGAACAGCTATGGTGATTTCAAAAACCACACTTGCATACTCATACAGCACCTTTCATTCTAACCAACTTCTTGTAAGACTGATGCATTTAGCAGTGGAGGCACTTACCACACACATTAATTTTAATAGTGTATATGCCACTATACGCCCTAGGCTGCTTTGAAGGATTCAACCAAAGTTTGTATATAAAAATCCTTCCAGCTTTTGCTCTATAAAAACTTCTTCGCAAATATTCATTTGCATTTTAAAATTAATCTGCCTCAGCAAATGCTTGTACCCTTTCCAGAACTGCTTCTTCTGAATGCGAGTGACTTCAATTTACCTTCATGAAGGTTAGTAGAAGGCAAATGCGGGCTTCCATGCATAAGAATTTGTAGAAAACAAACCTTGGATTTTACAAAAGTGAGTATTTGCCCTCAAAATTCTATATGATAAAATTTATATTCATTCTGCCAAATAAGAAATTGATATCATGCAGTCTGTCACAACCCACCAGCCTATCACAAAGAACACTGATTAACTGCAGCTAACTCTTTTTAGATGCCAGAATATAGCTAGTACATTTGTATTAATATTGCTGCATAGGTGGAGTTAGTAGTTAAATGAGGTAACTGCCTGATAGAATTCAGAAAATAATTTTATTTCTGTATAACTAGGTTGACTACGGGGCACATTAAATCCAGGCCAGTACAGGGGTCCAGACTGCTCATTTTGGTCAGCATGGTGGTTTCTACCGTTTCTGAGAAATGTAATGGTCAGGAGTAGAGTGGATCAGAAATGTGGTTTTTCTAATCAAAGGAAAAGTCTCCACAGAATCTTTTGTAAATGCCAGCTCAACGAGAAGATCTTGCATACTGGTCAGTGCTCGTACCGCTAGAGAGAGAGATTTAAGATGCGCCTGTTGGTTGTAATCTCTTGAACAGCAGCAAAGATATCCCTACGGGCTTATTTAGAGACAGGGCTTGGCAGAAGGAGAGGAGGAGTTGCTGACCCCCGGATTCGAGTGCTGTTTTTGTGGCTGGGGCCGGTCTGTCGGCGCAGACTGCGGTGCGGCCCTGCAGCCGGCGTGAGGCGAGGACGCGCTCCCGTAGGCGCCCGCTG